GTCACACAGTGAGACTGAGGAAGGCCATGTGGTAGGAGCCTTGATCAGGATGAAAGATGATTTATCCTTCCAGTGGTACTTGCTAAGGATGCAATAAATTTGGAACCGTAACGAGGCTGCAAGTAGTTTTGCACTTTGAATATCCAATACCAGATGACACAAGGGCCTTGTCAGGTGACCCTGAGAGGGCCATTTAGGTGAATTTCTGTGGTACTTAAATGAACCATCTCTGTGGACAGAAGTGATGCTGAGGCTTGTTAATTTACATTTGTGGAAACACTGAAACCTCTGGATGGAAGACATTCTGCATGGGTACAAAGGGTGAGGTAATATGTTGGGGCAAATTCTACCCTTTATGGGGGCAGAGAGGGAACAGACAGGCTTGGGGACACTTAGGGGGAGCCTCTGGCACATTATGTTTCAAACTAATCTTCAAAGAAAGCTCCCTACTTTCAGTACACTGAGTGTTCTAACCACATGTATAAGTTATTATTCTAGTAATTACTTTAACATTTCCCTCCTAAAGTCTCAGCTCTGTGTAAAGGGAATCTTTAGAGGGATTAGCCTGTGAGTTTTTCCCTCTACTGCACTTTAGTTTGTTACTTTTACTAAATCAGTGATACTCAGCTCCTAAGCATGACAGTCTCTCCTGCTGAGCTGATTGGGACCCAAATGGGGTCATCTCATCAATTCTAGACAGCTGTTCACAAGTTCCAGTCAGAGATAAGAATAAGCTCAAAAAGGAGAAGGAAGAATTTCAGCAAAAGCTGCCACTCTATGAGTTAATTGTATCCATTTATAAAAAGTGGTATTAGTAGTTAATAATACCAATTCGTTTTCTTATCATAATGATCCCTTTCTGCAAGGTAAATGCATACGCAAAGATAAGACATTTAACGTAAAACTGTCAAATCAAAAGCTAAGCTTTAAAAAACAACAAACAGGCTATCATCTTTTTCAATATGCTACATCAGTTATCTGCTTGTGACTGTGCCCAAATGAGCATATAGCTTTCTTATGTTTTTTTCTCCTTGTAATTTGCTTAGCTTTGGAGGGAGGTGGGCAATAAGTAATTTTACTTCTTGTTCTCAGGAGTAAGAAGGATTTTTTGCTTTACTGTGCCTGGCTCTTCCTGAATGAGGACTGAGCATCCTGAACTTTTCAATGGGTCCGGACAAGTCCTAGGAACTGCTTCTTCAGACCTGATGCTCTTTTCTGTTCATCATATCTCCTGGGATTTTCTTTTCCTGATTTGCCTCCAAAATCTCTTCTTCCTCAGGAGGTAGCAGGGCCCCTTCTTGCTGCTCAGAGGCCATGCAAGGTTGCGTTCTTTCCAGGGCCAGTCCTGCATGTGTCCATGAGCCCACACCAGCTCATTACGGGATGCTTCCTCGACCTCAGCCAAGGTTCTGGCTAGATGAGTACCATGCATGGAGCCACAGGAGAGGTTGCTCACATCCACCCTTAGGACTTAGGATTTCTTCTTGTCTCCTCATACATGAACTATGTGAATGCCGTGGGGCCATTCTATTCATTGGCCGCTGAGTGCCCTAGCTCATATTTCCTCTTTTTGTGCCAAAGTTGTCTCAGCTTTTGAACTAGTTTTCTTAGGGGAGGCCTATCACTCCAGGCTGCCTGGAAAGATGGCATGCAAAGACCATAGGGGCTGATTTGTAAACTCCTACCCTCTGATTCATCACCTGACAATATAGAATTAAACATTATAACATAGAAGAAAACAATTGAACCACTAAATTACTCTGGGCAAGGCATCCTAAATAGTGACTAAGATACCAAAAAGAAAATGTTTGGTATTTCAAATTAAGTGGCTTTTTTATTTCTGCAGTGTTTTCTCTAGTTTTTAATAGGGCACCTTTGTGTTCTGTTTCATTTGAAAGAGCCCAAGGGTCTTGACTTCAAAGAAAGCAACTCAGGGTACCATCACTATCACCTACTCAGTCAACATCAAAATTTATTGAGCAACCACTAAGTGTAAAGCATGTTACACTACACATGCTAAGAAAACACATCTTTCTCTTCACACTATAAAGGATGAACCCAAACAAATGGAAATACTCATTTTTTTAGTCACTCCTATGAGTACAATTCAAATAGACAGGTGTGGTTTATATAGAGAGGGCTTGTTACAAGTTCTTCAAATGGCCATATCTTTGCATCCAGCTACTGGTTCTGTAAATTGTCTCCTACATATAATATGGCCTCAAAATCTTGCAGGAACTGTGAAAACGGAAACAGGGTTCACCATTTGTTTAGAAGAGCATCTCAATGTGATACTGATCAGGCAGCATCTATATTCATGTCTAACCTGCTAACCCATGGACTATCCTCATGATAATATGCTTAGTAACTTTTTCTCATCAGTAAAAGAGCCCAACATTTTATAGGAATTGTACCTTCTCAAAATCCTATGATTGGTTTAGAATTTCTTCTTTGGTACATGTTGGTACAACATTTTTTTTCCAAAGTTAAAGTTGATTTTGTCTCTTCACTAACTTTCAGAAATTCCTTGGGGCAAGAGTCAATATATTCAAAATGAGAAAAAAGAAGGTCCTTTGTTTGAGTTGCCAGTTTCTGCTCAATATCAAGGAAAGTGATTTCCAGATAATATAGTGTTAGGATAGGTGTTTGCCAACCAGACTGGTTTTCTCCAGATACCCACCCAGGCCTCAGATACACGGGTCAAGATACAAGTTGTTACCCTAGAGACACCCATAATCAGCCACCTACTTCTTCTTCAAGTCCCATGTAGGAACCAATGTAATGGTGATTTGGTAAAAACATAGCAGATAGCAACACATTTTTAATCCCTAAAAATAAAACACCCAGAAACCTTTATAGAAAAATACTGTTTTTTAAAGTTCTCAATATAAAACATATTTCCAGGTTTCATTAGCATTTCATTTGGTCTTGATTTATGATTTTCCCCCTCTCTTAAAGACATTTTATCTCTAGGGTCATGTACCTTCAAGCAGCCATGATCTCAAATTATAATAAAAGACACATTTTTAGTAGAGAAAAAGCCTGTTATAAGTCCCTCACCACTCAACAAGTATAACATCTTTAGAAAACTACATAAGATGCCCAAATAGTTCTCTTTTAAAAAAATGATTCAGTTATTTTCTATATGCAAAGTTCTGCAACAAGTTCATTTTTGAACATAAAGAAGAGAAAAGTAGTTCCAAATATAAAAATAGGCAAAGTTGTTTCTTATTTTTGAAGAAGAAAATAAACTTGATAAATAGGCAATCAGCTTGATGAGCAAACTTGTGTAAAGTACCTGCTTTGTGCAAGTCATAATTCTGGGGATGGAGAAGATACAAGAACACATAAAGCATCATAGTCCCTGATAGGGCATTAATTATAGTACCCTCATTATTTTTATAGATGATGATGATTTTCATAACTGATGTTTACTGACACCCAGATTCCAATATTGCATGGCTAGGAGAGAAGTGATATATGGGATATCTATCCATAACATATAATTGTTACATAAGTATGTGATGCTAACAGATATGGCTCTACCTGTAACTGGGGGGAGGTAGGAGGAGAAAGCATGCTGGTTTGAGGATAAACATGACAATTAAAGGGGGTTCAATGTGGGACATTTTGAGACAACTATGCTGAGAATACAGTGGCACATTAATCAAAAAAGATAGTGCATGGGGCAGGAAGAGGGAGACAATCAATGAATGTATAAACAAATGAATGAGCAACTTCAGAGGATGAGAAAGGCTAAGAAGATAATCATGGTTACAAAAGAACTTTCTGAGGAGATAACAGGAAGGCTGCAAGCTGACTGATCACACACAGTCTCTGGTACAGAAGAAAAACAGTGGGAAGAGTATTCCAGAAAGAGACAACAGTAGTAGCAAGTGCCTAAGACCTAAATGGTCTTGACATGTTCACAACACATAAGGCCACTATAGAAGTAGTATAATGTATGAGGAGAAGGGTGTTACAAGGTAAGTTGGGCAGATAGGACGTACAGGAAGGGCATTGGAGAGTATGGTAAGAAATTATTAGATTTTATTCTATATTCAGTGGAAAGCCACTGGATAGTTTTAAATAGGAGAGTGACTCAATATGACTGCATGGTCAGAGTCTTTGATAAGACCAAGTCAAGAGGTAGAGTCTTTGTTAACATTTTAACACTGAGGTTTTTTATTTTTGTTGTTAAGAGTGTCAGACAATATTTAGTTTTAAAAGACATTCCACAATGGAGACTGACATCTCAAATTCAGTATGTCCATGATTGTGATGTCTCCCCAGCAATCCTCCCTCTTTCAGAAATGGTCATTATAGGCTTCTAGTTTTCAGAACAAAACCATGAATGCTTTCTTGATGCATCCAATTTGTCAGCAAAGCCTGAGCCCATTTCTCACCTTCTTCATTGCCCAAGGTTGCCTAGGTGGTAGGGTGGCTAAGTGGGGATTTGAACCCCCGCCTGTCTGGCTCTGAAGCCTGGGTTTTGTTCATGACACCCTTCATGTGGCTAAAGTAATTTTTTCCCATATGGGGCATTTGGCAATGTCTGTAGCTATTTTTGGCTTTCCTACTGGGGCGGGTGCTGCTGGCATCTAATGAACTGAGGCCAGGGATGCTGCTAACATTCTGCACTGCGCCAGACACTCCCACAGTCACCCTACCGATGTCAGCAGTGCTGATGCTGAGGAAGCCTCCTCTAGAGTGGCAGCAGCCCTGGCAAGACTATGTCCATTTACTCAATGAATAAATGGCAGCTATTTTGCAGAAGTCATTGGGATAAAAATAAACCACATTTGGCTTTGAGCTACATCTATTAAATATTTATTTAAAAAACAAAATATTGGTATATCCAAACAAATAACTTCCTACTTCATTTTAGAATATGAATTTCAGTAAAATCCTAAAAGAGGGAAAAGAAAAAGCCTTATGCATCTCTATAGAATATATTTTGTGCAGTAGGGCCAGGAAGAGCTAGGGTCTGAGGTGGGAGGATGCATGAATGTTCAAAGAGTAAAGTAAGTGAGCAGAAAACTGGCAGGAAATGTGGGCAGAAAGGTAAGTGGGAAAGATGTTGTCAAGCCTCCCAGGATATTATGAGGACCTTGACTTTGACTCCGAGATAAGAGAACAATGGATGGTTTTAGACAGAGAAATACTCTCCTCTGACTTTTATTTTAACAGGCTCCCTTGAGGAGCTGTGTTGAAAATAGACTGAAGAGAGACAAGGTTGAAAGCAGCAAGATAGCTAGGAGCCACTGCAATGGTCCGGGCAGGGGATGGACTCGGGCCAATCAATGCGATCTGAAATTATAGGAAAGAAGACTGAGCCCGTCACATGTTAGTCACCAAATTGTTTAGCTATAATCACAATGATCATTACCTTTACTGATAAGTCTCCACAGTCATGGTCACCTGTCACCTGTAATGACTACCTACTGTCTCAAAACAGCTTTCCAGGTCTTTTGCATGGAGCCTGGGTCAGTTTCACAGCACAGCCTTCCAGGCTGCTCCTTTAGCCACAATCCTCCCCCTTCACCAGCCGACATGGGCTTCTTGCTGCCATGGACAGAGCCTTGGGAAGCTGCGAGGTCCTTGGGAAGATGCATGGAGTGGCCTCAACAGTCAGGAATAGGCTGTATTATTCTACAGGGAAAGGAGAACCAAAGTAGCCTCACAGGCCCACCCTGAGAGGGAGTGATGGTGATATTTACCAGTCCAAGAGGATCAAAGCAAACACATACTCCACCTTGATTATTTGGTCAATGCTGTAAAAATCACACTCACCTACATTAGCTTACTGATCTTTCCAGCAACTCTGTAGGTTAGGTGTCACTACCCTCATCCTATAGACCAGTGATGGCGGACCTTTTGAGCTCGGCGTGTTAGCATTTTGAAAAACCCTAACTTAACTCTGGTGCTGTGTCACATATAGAAATTTTTTGATATTTGAAACCATAGTAAAACAAAGATTTATATTTTTGATATTTATTTTATATATTTAAATGCCATTTAACAAAGAAAAATCAACCAAAAAAAATGAGTTCGCGTGTCACCTCTGACACACGTGACATAGCTTCGCCATCACTGCTATAGACAATGAAACTGAGGCCCAGAGTCGTCAGGTGACATATCACAGGTCCCAACTAATGGAATAGCAACATGAGAAAGCAAAGTCCCATCTCCTTTCCTTTCCACCAAAGGTTCTCAAACTAGAGCGTGCATTAGAATCCCCCAGCGAGCTGTTTCTGGGTGACACAAGTTGCTGGATCCCATACCTGGAGTTTCCCATTTGGTAGGTCTGAGGTGAGGCTGGAGAATTTGCATTTCTGAACTGTTCTCAAATGATGCCATGTAGCTGGTCTGGGGCCACACTTTGAGAACCACTGACCTATACACTACTGAGTCAGTGGAAAAGTAAAGCTCTCACACAATTTACAACAACTAAGATCTGGAAATAGCCCAAGTAACCATCAGTAGATGAAAAAAGCTGTACATTTATACCCTGGAATACTATGCAGCAGTAAAACAGAAGAATCTCTTACCCTTTAAGACAGCATGGAGGGACCTGGAGGGTATCATGCTAAGAGAAATAAGTCAGTTAGAGAAACACAAGTATCCCATGATCTCACTCATATGTGGAATCTAATAACAAAATAAGCTGATGAACGGAGTGGATCCAGAGACATGGAAGCATGGAAGCATGGAACAGAGTGCAGAAACTTGGAGGGAAGGCAGGGGAGGGTGGGTGGGTGGGAGTTAATCAACCAAGGATCTTGTTTGCATATATGCATGTCCCATGCACACAGACAATGGGGCGGTGAAGGCCTGGGGGGGGGGGGGGGGGGCGGGCACAGGGGCTAGAGGGGGTCAATGGGGGGGAAAAGGGGACATATGTAATACTTTCAATAATAAAGAATTATTTTTTAAAAAAGTAAAGCTCTCATTCCTCATCATTTTTCCCCACTTCCAAGAACCACAAAAGAGTTGTTTGTTTGTTTGTTTTAATGTGGGATATTAAAGATTGATGTTTACTTTATTAGAAATGTAAGTTTCTTATGGTTTCTAGTGGGCAGAGTACTTCTTTATATTAATTGAGTGTGCAAATAAACAAGTTTTGGGATTACAAATGAACCCCATGTTTAGTATTTCAGGCAGAAGGAATAGATGTAAAGGAAGGGAGACCCTGAATAACTACAACAGCCTTCTCACCAGTTTTCTATCCTTGAGTTATTTCTTTCACTCCCCCTTTTTACTCTCATAGTGGTGAATTTTGTGGATTTGATAGCAGAATCTTGGAACAGGGATACAGTGAACAGAAGTAATACAGTGAAGCCAATTAAGGAAATTATTAACAATGTCTATAGAAGAGGATCTAATCTGTGAGATGAAGCCCCTATCCATTGAGTATGTTCCCAACTCTAGTAGAAAAGAATTTCCAGTAGTTAGAACCCTGTTGTTTACTGCTGAGATGTTTTCTTGCACAATCTGAATTACACTTGAGTTTAATGCAGAATTCATAGTTAAAAAAAATGTCCAAGTGCCTTCATAATCATAATAGCTTTTTACCATATATTCCCATAAAAATATGATGAAAGGAAAAACCCAGAAATATAAAAGAAGATTTATATTTAATTTTTCACCCTATTGTTATTTACTATAATAAAAGTAAAATATTCTCTATGTGTCAAACAAAAGAGCATGGACTGAATGGTTTATGGAAGACACATATGACATAATATCACTGCAGCATTTTACAGTTACATTTTCAAAGATATTTTTAATAGCATGGAAAAATATTCCTGACCTAAGTTTAAACACAACAAGCTAAACAACAAACACCAGGTGTAAAATCTATATATGCACATAATTGTGTCAAATTAAACACAAAGAAAAGAGAGCCAAATGATGGCAGAGGAACAGGGGTCATTTCTGGGTTGGGATCTTAGGTAATTTTTATTTTCTTTTTTAGCCTTTTTTTTAAGTGCATTGGTTTCTTTTATGTTCAGAAAAAAAATAACCTATTACATATTTTTAAAAGCAATATGACAGGTGGAAGGAGTCATAATATGGGTTTTTAGCTCCTCCTTTGACATGACTAGATTTGTGAATTCAGAACAGCCACTTAACTCCTCAGAGACTGTTTCCTCACTCATACATTGGGAAATTTCCCTCTCTCACAGAATTGGTGGCAAACAGAGAAGTTATAAATAAGAATGCTTCAACATTAAAATGCAGGGCCTGCAAAACAACATAAATGAGAACTCAGTGCTGTCATTCACAGTTTCCCAAGAACCCTGACCTCTGATTCCTTGGCATCTAAGATGAAAAACTACAGGAAGCACAGAAATGCACTAGGTAAATAACTAATGTATCAAGATAGTCAGTTAAGGTTGACATTCCCTCTCAGTTGGTAATAATGATCTCTGATCCCTTTATATACCCTTAAACTATTTTTCCAGTGTAGAGGTTCTGTTCAATGATTCATATTTCATTTTTAAAACATCCCTTTAATAAATTCTCAAGATTTTCACGGAATTGGCCAGAGCTCTCGTTCATCATTTTTAAAAAGATGAGTATTTAACAGGTCAAACATGTTTCCAGCTGAATATAAAAATGGTTGTGTGAGAGAACCATGGCAGGCATACCTCATTGAATGGGTAGCTACTGTAGATTTCTGAAGGGAATAGGTTTGGAACATTTCACTGTATACGCTTAGCAGCCATGAAAGTTCCTGATCTCCTTCTACCTTTTCTGAGGGAGATGGCTGTGAGCCCTGCTTTTCTGAGTAGCAGCAGGTGTATATGCTTCTAGTTGAACTTCAGTCAATTTAGTTACTGGTATAAAAGAGCTCCCACGAAACTCTTCTGAAATTTGTAAGCACAGCTGCATGGTTAGGGAAAAGTGCCTCCCAGATGAAATTGTGCCCATCTTCAACAGGTAGCTCTGAACTGGCAATCTTCACACTGGGGGAAAGAACCAGCTTTCATTCTGATCTTGAATATAATAATCAAGCAGACCACACTCTTTGGAAAGAAATGGAGTTCCTCATAAGAAGTGTGCAGGGGACAAGCATCAGACTAGAGGTGCCCCCACTTCATAGCTTTGGGACCCTGAGTGAGTCCTTAACTTCTCTGGGCTTCTAATCTTTTATCTAAAAACAGGAGAAGACACACTTCAGAAGTTTGTCATGTGGATAAATGAAATATAGAAAGCATTTTGTAAATTCACAAGCACTAATCAAATAATGAGAGGTTAGACAGGGCCAGAGAAGATGATTATATTAAAATCAGAAGACTTTATGCCTAATTGGTCCTTCATAAAATAATGAATTTGGGGTTTCCTGCTGTGGTGGATTGAAAATAATCACAATTTCTTTGCAGCTTCTCTCATTCAGAGATGGAGTGTATTTCTCCACTACTTGAGTTGGGATTGGTCTTGTGACCTGCTTTGACCTACAGACTATGGCTGAGGTGACAATGTGGGACTTCTAAGCTTAGGTCTCAGGAAGTGGCCTCACCGCTTCCGTTCACACCATCTTAGAACCCAGCATCCACAGGGAGAACCTGAGCTGGCTCCCTGGCCTCCTGGAGGGTGAGAGATCTTGAGGTAAGACAGAGCCAGTCTTCTCAGCCATCTCAGATGTCCCAGCTTAAGTCCACAAGTGACACAAGTGGAACAAGAGTAAGACCTCAGTGGAGCCTGACTTCTGATCCACAGAATCATAAACAAAAAAATAAACAAAAGATTGTGACTTTAAACGCCTATGTTTCACAGTGACTTGTTAAGTAACAAAAGCTACCTGATACATCTTCCATGCCTCCTCTCTGACAAGACTCTGATGTATATATCTACACAAAAATAGAACTCAGTGATTTCCAGTGATTTCTGCCGAGATGATGAACAGTTCATGTGATAGGGAAAGCAGCTGAAGAAGTTGAGTAAAATTTGAGAGAAATAAAATGTGTTTCTGAACGCAGTAACATCTCCTGTGTCTGGAGGATAACCTTGTCATTTCAAAATACAACAGAAAACTGGTTTTATAGGAGGAAAAGTGATGCCTTGCACTGAGATGTACATAACTGTACTCACAACCAAATCCCTCTTCACTCTTGCTTTACACTTAGTTTTAACCAGCTTCATTTCCTTGTTTCTAAGCCAACATAAAAATAGAAGAGGGATACATTGTGCAGACATGAATTTACTAATGAGAAATGAGAGATAACTACTCAAAAAAAAAAACACCAGGGAAGGGGAGAATGCCAAAAATTACATATGGACTCAAGTGGTACAGGGATTAGTATAGAATCAAACATGTCCATGTGTTCCAAGAAATTAGCATTGAGGACACCACTGCATTATATCTTGATACAGAAAATTAAATCATATAAGTTCACTTGAGAAAAGGTTTTCAATCAAAAAACATAAACTCAGTTTGGATGCTTAGCTTGGCCAGCCTTCAGTGAGCTGGTCAGCTCAGCCCACACAGTCCCACAGGATCCATCCAGCCTAACTGCTCCAGACCCTCAGTGAGCACAGACTTGCTCCTCAAACTGCCTGTAGCAGCTCCCTGGCTTATTGCTTATGGGTGTCTTTTTATTTTTTTCCTACTTCTCTGGGGAATGCTCCCTTAACACTTGGAAGCTTTAAGGGGAAGTAGGTCTAGAACAGGGGTGGGCAACCTTTTTGTGAGTGCGTGCCAAAACCAGCAAAATCTCTGACTCAAAATTCTTCTGCGTGCCAACCCTAATTTTTTGAGAACATGTTACGCCTACTTGATATCTCTTAAGGTGTACGTATGTGAAGAACCTTGAAGAAATAATAAAATTCATTTGAGCGACAAAAATACAGTCTATGATGAAAAATACATTTATTTTTTAATGTATACATGTACACTGATAGTCCGACAGAAAACTTTATGACTCCGTTTGACATTATCAGTGGGACTTTTGCTGCTGCATCACTGATGACAGAGATTTTACATCAGGTTTATATTTCGTGACCTTCAGAGATATACACGAGCTACTACTTTCATTTGTCAGGCTACTCCTATTACGAGACTTAACAAAATGCATCACTGAGAACAAAGATTCGCAAGCATATGTGGATGAAAACATGGAGAGTAACACTGTTGCAAGGTTTTTTAAACAGAAAAAAATTTTCTGGAATGGCATTGCAACTCCTCAATAGTTCATTTTCGACACTTCTCTCTGGTACTCCTGTCTCTAATCGCTTTTTTTCAATGTTTTCCAAGTCAACTCTAAGATCAATAAATTTCTGCTTCTAAATTGAGCTACTCTGAAATTCAATCAACTGCATTTCAAAGTCAGCCATGTCTATCTATGAAAACATTTGTAAGCTTAATTCCTCCAGTTTCATGCTATCTGGAAACCTCATGAATTTTGCTGTCTCTTCTAGTTCTCTGAATTTCGCAAATCTTGAGAAGAACTGCTCAATAGTTGACTCGATGTTTAAAACCAGCTTTTGAAGGCTTTGACAGTCTGTTCTGTCATCTTTTGGGAGGTCTTTGATGTGCCTCTTGAGGTTTGGGAAATATCTAAATCTCTCACCATCCACATCCCTCTTAAAGACTTCCAATTTCTTTTCAAAAGCCTTTATGTAACCAAACATAACAACAAATGCCTTGCCAGTTCCTTGTAATTTAACATTGAAGTCATTCAAATGTTCACAAAAATTGCAAATGGAAGATTATCAGCGTGCCAGCAGAAGTTACTGGCGTGCCGTGTTTGACATGGGTACCAGGGGTTGCCCACCCCTAGTCTAGAAGGAATATAAGTGATGTTAGTAGGAAGGTCAAGGTCAAAATTCTTGTTTCAGATGGGGTCTGAGTTTGCATTCTTTGATTAAAACCATAGAAACTTATTCTGGCAAACCAGTAGAAAGGGAATTTTCTAAAAGGCTCTGGGGTTGCTTACAGGATCAAACTGAAGGCTCAAGAGCTTGGTTTGAAATATTCCATTACAAAATGGGAGGACACACAACCCAGATTTGCCACCACATCTTGATTGCACACTATGGAATGAAACAATTCCCCCAAAACAGTAATTGGGTGCTCTTAGGAAAAAATGACGAGTGGTAGAAAACCCTATCAAAAGCCCTGTACACTCAGGACTTTACTGTGTCCAGCTTGGAATTCTGAGGGGTCCTGGCAGTGCCCACCTACCTTGAGGGCTGCAGATGGTAGGGGAAGGCAAGCTCTCTCTTTCACCAATCACTCTGTCAATTTCACATGGCAGCTCAACTGTATGCCCAAAAGCCAGGCATCTGGAAAGGGGGGCATTCCTCTTTGAACCTGGTAACTTGGATTAGATGCAGTTTTTCTGTTTTGGTCTCTGTTATGCCTCTATCCTCATCTCCCCAG